ACCTGAGCCAGGTGAAGGTTCTATCTGGGAAACAAGCTTGAGCCTAGGATCATAGATTTAGGATTGGAAAAGGCTTCAGATAATCTAATCCAATCTCATTTCGTTGTTCAGTCATTTCAGTTTGTGTCTGACTGTGATCCCATTTGGGGTTTTCTTAACAAAGCTACTGGAGTGTTTTGCCATTTCCTTTTCCAGATCATTTTTCAGAAGAGGAAATTGAGGCAGACAGGATTAAGTGACTTGCCCAGGATCGCACAGCTATTAAGTATCTGAGGCTGGCTTTGAACTTAGGTAAATAAGTCTTCCTGACTCCACAAACTGCATTCTTGTCAGCTGTGCCACCTTGCTCATTTTACAGTTGAGAAAATTGAGGCCCAGGGAGATCAAATGTTTTGCCAAGAGTCATAAAGGCAGTAAGCAGTAGGAGAAGAATTTGAAACCAGTTCTTTTGACTTTAAATCTAATGCTTTTTTCATTCCATGCCTCCCTTGTCTTTTGTGCCAGGTTTGGGCCACTTTCTTAGTTTGTGTGCTTATAATAAAACAGTAACTGAAATTCCACTTCCTTGAAAATTGGGAGGATTATCAGCCTAAGTGTCAAAAGTGGACTTAGGCTTATTTGAGGTTTGTTAGACCAGTATTACCTCCTGCAGGAAGAAGAATATGGAAAATAAGCAAGAGCTAGGATTTTTTTTCAGCCATCTCTAGATGATTATATTAAGTTGTGCATACCACTTTTGTGTGTGTGTGTATGTGTGTGTGTGTGTGTGTGTGAGAGAGAGAGAGAGAGAGAGAGAGAGAGAGAGAGAGAGAGAGAGAGAGAGAGAAATATTTATAGTCAAGCAAAACAAATTCCTGCATTGGCCATGTCCAAAAAATATTTGTCTCGATCTTTATCCTGAATCTATTACCTTTTGGTCAAGAGGTAGGTAGCACGTTTCATCATGAAATTCCAGAGTCCTCTGGAATCTGGCTGGTCATTTCATGGATCAGTATTAAGTTTTTCAAAGTTGTTTGTATAACTTGTTCTTTTGGTTCTGCTCATTTCATTCTGCCTCAATTCATACATGTTTTCCCAGGTTGCTCTGAAGCCATCCCATTCCTCATTTATTACTATATAATAGTATGCCATTACATTCATATACCATAATTTGTTCAGCCATTCTCCAACTGATGGGCAACTCCTTAGTTTCCTGTTTTTAGCCATCACAAAAAGAAGCTAGGATGATTTCCTTTTTCCAGATGACATGTCCACTAATAGCATTTCTCTGTGACATCAAGTTTTCCTGCCTTCTTTTTTCCCCTTCATAAAAACTACAATAAATCTAAAATCTGATGCCCCTACCTGCCTAAAGAAAATCCACTGAGTAGCAGGGCAAAGTCCAGGATAGCAAGAAGCCTTTCGATAACTCCTCCATGCCCTTTGCAAGTCTTCACCTTGCTAACAGGTTACCTGGTCTGCCTATACTTTGGCAAGCACACAGCTCCAGCTCTGCTTCTTCCAGTCAGTCCTTTTCAAAGGAGACTTCTAAGGGATGATAAGTGGCTTTGGAGTTTCTAGTTTAATATTCAACCTGAATCTGGGGAGAGCTGGGTGAAGGTTAGTACTTCTCTGGCTAGTGCCTGTCTTATTTATAAACATGTTTGCCATTAAGAAGAATAATTGGTGGGGTGGGAGTAGGAAGAGAATGGAAGCAGTACAGTTAAAATAAGATTGTTAAGCTGAACTGAGACTTCTTAAAAATAGCAAAAAAAAAAAAAAGAAAATAGGCCTAGACTTTACAGAGAGTAGTCAATTCTACCCTGAGTAGTTCCAACCTATATAGCCCAATGGTCTCCAAACTTTTTTGATCATGCCCCCCATTAGTAACACATTTTTTAACATGTATGTTCCAATATATATATATATATATATATATATATATATATATTTACTTATGAATATATAATTCACTATTATACTAATAATTGCATACATTATAAAACTTATGAGAAGCAACATGGTCTAGTACAGCAATTCTCAAAATGTGGTCCAGGGAACTCTGAGGGTCCCTGAAGTTAAAATTTTTCATAATACTAGGACACTTTAATGTCTAATATAGTAAATATCAATAAATATAACCCACATAAACAAAAGCTGTTTGAGGGGGTTTTCAATTTTTAACAGTGTAAAGAGGTCTTGAGTCTAAAAAATATTAGAACTACTGGTCTGGTGGATATAGATCTGGCCTCAGAGCCAGGAAGTCCTGGGTTTACACCTCTGCCACATGCTGGCACTTGTGTGTGACCTTGGGCAAGTCACTTAATTTCTCTCTGCTCTAGGTAGCTCTTTAATACTGGTAGGTGCAGGGAAGGTTCCAACTTTTATTGGTATAAGAGTTTGCTTGTCAGGAAGTTCCTATGGCAATAAAATCAGTCTAGTCCCTATCCCTATAAAACTCTCTCTCTCTCTCTCTGTCTCTGTCTTTCTCTCTCTCTCTCTCTCTCTCTCTCTCTCTCTCTCTCTCTCTCTCTCTCTCACATACACACACACACACACACACACACACACACACACACACAAAAGAATGAGGTAAAGACAAAATGATATTTGATACTGGAGGAAATAGGGAGCCACTGGAGAGACATGGTCAGATTTATACTTTGAGAATATCAATTTGGCAGATATGTAGAGGATGGATTGCAGTGGGGAGAAACTTTAGCAAGATAACCCATTAGGAGGTGATTGCAATAGCCCTGGCAAAGGCGATAAGGGCCCAAATGAAGGTGGTGGCTGTGTGAGTGGAGATGGCTATGAGAAAGATGGAGGTAGAAATGACACATTTTGGTAGTTGGTGTGATATGTGGAGTGAGGGAGAGTCAGTAGTTAAGAATGATGCAAAATTTCAAAACCTCAGTAACTGGAAGGTCACTGTTGGTATCCTTTCAGAAAGAGGAAAATTTGGAAGAGGGAAGTGGGTTGGATGAGGGGAGGAGAACAGACAATATCCATGCCTGCTAATACTGAGTGACTCACTTGGTTCCACCCAAAACAAAAGTTAGGGGAGTGGAGAGAGTAAGATGGGAGATGGGAAGGAGGGTTTTTAACTCACCGGCTACTATTCCAAAGTTCAGAGCCTGCCAATTGAGGGGTCCCTGAAGCAGTATGGGAATACTGGACACAGAATGGAATATTTTACCTGAAGCAAAGCAGTAGATGAGTAGGGCCAGAAGTAGAAGGAGCTAGAGCTAGGAAGTATTGAGGTTGAAGGGGGTAAAGTAGGGGGTTGTGAGTGATAATAGAAAAGAGAGTGGTTCTTATGTTGTGGAGACAAGCCCACGCTAGGTTATCAAGCAGAGGGTGGGAAATGATCATTTTCTCACACTCCCACTATCTCATGCTATGATCCCTGCTTTGTTTTTTGTTTGTTTGTTGTTGTTGTTATTTTAGGCAATGGGGTTAAGTGACTTGCCCAGGGTCACACAGCTAGTAAGTGTTATGTGTCTGAGGCCAGATTTGAACTCAGGTCCTCCTGAATCCAGGGCCAGTGCTCTATCCACTGCACCAGCTAGCTGCCCCATATGGTCCCCACTTTGGAGATCACTACCATAGCCACCAATACCTCCACAATAAAGTTTAGGCCTTGAAGTAAGGTTCCTTATTGTTACTATTCTGTCACCTACAGTACTTTGACTATCAGACTAGAGGGTAGCTGGGCTAGACAACCAGGTTCCCCCTACATTTAACAAAGAGCTGGGAGGAAGAAAATCTCAGCCTGATTTTATCCCAAATACAGATACATAAAAGAAATGTATACTGACCATTTTCAAGGCTCTTTCTCTGTGAGGCAGATAATTCTTGTCCTAGCATCAGGCCTAGGTAAATTTGCTGGATTTCTTTCAGAAGGACTTTAAGATAAATTGATTTAACCACTACTAGGTCTGTATCCCAAAGAGGTAATAAAAAAGGGAAAAGGACCCACATGTACAAAAATATTTATAGCAGCTCTTTTTGTGGTGGCCAAGAATTGGAAATTGAGGGGGGATGCCTATCAGTTGGGGAATGACTGAATAAGCTATGATATATAAATGTAATGGAATACTATTGTTCCATAAGAAATTGTAGACTTCAGAAATACCTGGAAAGACTTGCATGAACTGATGTTGAATGAAGTGAGCAGAACCAGGTGAACACTGTACACAGTAACAGCAACATTGTGAGATGATCAACTTTGTTAGACTTAACTCTTCTGAGCAATGCAGTGATCTAAGACAATTCCAAAAGACTCATGATGGAAATGCTATCCACATCCAGAGAGAGAACTTTGGAGTCTGAATGCCGTGAAGCATACTATTTTCTCTTTCTTTTGTTGTTGTTGTTTTTTTCGTGGATTTTTAAAATTAATTTATTTTGAGTTATCAACAATCACTTTCACAAGCTTCTGAGTTTTAAATTTTTCTCCCCCTCCCCAATACAGCGTGCAATCTGATATAGGCTATACATATACATTCCTATTAAACATTTTCACATCAGTCATGTTGTAAGGAAGAATTAGAACCAATAGAAGGAACCACTCTTTTGTTGTTTTGTTTTTTCTTTCTCATGGTTTTTCCCTTTTGTTCAGATTCTTCTTTCACAACATGACTGATGTGGAAATATATTTAATAAAATCATACATATATAGGCTATGTCAGATGGCATGCCATCTTGGGGAGGGGGAAGTAGGAGGGAGGGAATTTAGAAGTCAAAATCTTAGTGAATGTTGAAAACTAAAAAGAAATTAGTTAATAATTTAAAAAAGAAAAATTGATTTAAAATCAAATTTATTCAATCACTAGTACCTTGATTTTAATAAACATTTTTTATAAGTGAATACTTTCTTGAATTTGGTATAACCATGATGCATCATCTTCTGAGATCAGAAGGAGGTCTTGTGGGAGGTAAGGGAAGGGAAGAGTTGTTGGCTCCATTTTTAGAAGGCAAACATTTTAAAAGAGTGAATGACTTTTATATTTTTTCAGATGAATTTCCCAGATACATCAGAAATCTGAAAAATGACCTGGTTATTTACCAAAGCTAACTGAAGCCGCTATTTTTAACACTGTTGGATCAAGTTAACAATCTCTGATTCAAAAGGTCAGTCTCAAAGGTTTGTAAAATGTTAGAGCTGGAAGGGACCTTCGGGATTCTTTTGTTTCATGGTCATGAATGTGTATAGAATATTTTATGCTGAAGAATTAATCACCTGGTGGCCAACCTCTGAATGAAACTCTCCATACTTAGCTGGACTGGTGCTCAGTTAGTGTTTGACATGAAGGTGATATCCAAAGTCTTTTCAGTTTTGTATGCCAGATGGGGCTTTCATTCTGTTGGAATAGCCAGCCTTCCGGAATTCAGGTCATTCATGGCTAATGTGGGAATTTGTTTTGCATGACTATACATATTTGTAATGGATTTTGTTTTTCTTACCTTCTCAATGAGTGTGGAAGGGGGAAGAGGAAAGTAGAGAATTCGGAACAGGAAATAAAATAAAATTGAATTAAAAAAACAAATTCAGGTCATTCCCATGCATGATAAAGCAGCAGAATAAGGTTTTTGCACTCATGGCAAAATATGACACAGATAAAACTACAAACCCGGGTCTCTGAAGCTCCCTTTAGCTTCCTGCAGTGACAGTGGGAAAGACAGGTACAAAATATAGTAAGAATCAGTTTTTAACCATCCATAAGCATTAACTTAACTGGTACTTTAAATGTAAAATTCTTATCCAATGACCAGTTCAGTTGATACACTGACATTCTCACTATAAATTTCAAATACAGTGATATAAAGAAGTTACAGCTAAATGGAAAATGTCTCACAGCTATTTTCTCTGCAGAAAATGAATAAAGGAATTGATGAAGTTGGTTTCATCTTGTACCCATAGACAACCAGAAATGTCATTTCATGACCTTCATGAAGTTGGTTGTGGCTTGTGTACCAACATCTGGTGCAGAGCATTGGGTAATAGATAAATTCAGCAAAGAACTTGCTGAGAGCCTCCAAACCAAGTCAACATATACCTTGACATTTAGTGACTTCAGGGCAAAGAAGAAGGGCAAAAGTGGGGAATGGCAAAAATATATTGGAAAATATGGTTTGAAATTAAGAAATGAAAGAGGCCAAAGGATCATAGATAACTCGGAAAGCTCCATCTGTAGATGTGAATACATACATATGTATTCTGTATATACTGGATGCTTTCTTTTTTTTTTAATTTTTTTAAATTTTCGCATTAGTGATGTTGTAAGGAAGAATTAGAACCAATAGGAGGAACCACCAGAGAGAGGAAACAAAACAAAACAGAAGGAAAAAAAGTAGCAAATAGTATGCTTCGATCTGCATTCAAGCTCCATAGTTCTTTCTTTGGATGTGGATTGGGTGCTTTCTTTAACAAGAGAATTGGAGCCATTTCCTACTTGATACAGTTTTCAAAAGAATTTCAAATTATGCACAATCATGTAGAAAATTGTTCCTAATCACTACTAAGAAAATGCAAATTAAAATGATTCTGAGGTTTTATCTCAAACCCAGCAAATTAGCAAAGATGTCAAAAGACAAATAGTCAATATTGGAGGAGCTGTGGGAAGAAAACATACTAATACACTGTTGGAGTTGTGAATTGGCCCAACATTCTGGAAAATAGTTAGAATTATGTGAGAAAAATCACTAAATTATTCATACTCTTTATCCCAGAACTCCTTGTTGTTATTGTTCAGTCATTTTTAGTCATGTCCAACTCTTCATGACCGCTTTTGGGGTTTTCTTGGCAAATATACTGGAGTAGTTTGCCATTTCCTTCTCCAGCTCATTTTACAAATGAGGAAACTGAAGCAAACAGCTTACCCAGGGTCACATAGCTAGTAAGTGTCTGAGGCTAGATTTGAACTCAGATCTTACTGACTCCAGGTCTGGCTCTTTATCTACCACACCACTTAGCTGCCCCGGAACTCCTACTACTTGACAGAAAAGGTAGCCTTATATACATATCAAAATGTTCAGAACAGCACTTTTGTGGTAGGAAAAAAACTGGAAGTAAGGTAAGTGCTCGTGAACTGGAAAGTGACTGAACAAGCTGTAGTATATTAAATACAATGAAATATTGTTTTGCTGTAAAACTGAATTCAGAATAACATGGGACTCATACAAACTGATACAGAATGAAGTTAGCAGAATCAAAAGAACAATACATATGATGACTGCAATAATGTAAATGAAAAGAAAAACTAAGCCAAATGCTGAGTAATTATTATGACCAATCTTGGCTTCCTGAAACATAGTGAGGGAAGTACCTCCTTCCTTTTAATAGAGAAGTGGAGGACTACAGGTACACAACATTTTAATACACTGGTGGGTATAATTCATGTGTCTTAACTTAAATGTTGGTTTTACTTAACTGTTTTTTAATTTATTTCCTGAAAGCTCATTTTGTATGTTATATCCAGAAATAACTGATAATGGAACAAAATTAAAATTAATATTTTTAAGTTGAAAGGTGCTACAGACCTGGAGAATTTGAACACACACACACACACACACACCCCATCCAAAACCCTGAAATTGATATCTTAACAGACAAGAAATGACTAGTGACTTTTATGAAGGCCATTTCAGAATCAGTCTGGAGTCAGATCACTGATTAAAACAAAGGTCAAAATTAACAGATTGGAAAAACGTAAAAAAATGAGTTATAACTACATAGCTCCAAACCTGTTTTGGCAATCTGTTGCCTCTGAAAAATAAGAAAAGGATAAAAGTAAAACCACTGTTTTTCATTATGACTATTACTTAGATGTTTAACCAATATAACAAATTTACTTTCAGCCAACAAATACTGGATCACCTTTCCATTCAGAGACATGGCAACCCAGTGTAACACCAGAATACTAGCTCATTTGCAAACTATTAGAGAGAAAGATAATGGGGGGGTGAGGGGACAGGAGAACTACTATTTTATAAAACAAAAAACAAATAATGAAGAGGATAATAAGCCTTCAGAAAACTTGGCTTGAGACTCAACTAAACCAGATCATTCCAAGAGCATTTGCAGATAAAGCTGGAAAGAAGACAACAAATAAATGTGAGATGGAACCAATCATCCAGAATTTCAATAGTGATGTATCCTCTTAATCTGGGAGAGTACAACCATAATATTTGGATGCCACCACTTTGGTACCTCTTAATTACTAAGGTGGTCGAGGTAATAAAAATAGCACTGAAGAAAATGAGGAATTAAAAATGGCACCATAGAAATAGAAAATTAAATTAAGAATTGTGACTGGACCTGATCAAATAACATATAGAACAAATCTATTCTGGAGGCAATGCAATTTTAAAGGTACTCAGGGATTTTTTCTTAATAATACCTAAGGAGAAAATTTCAAAAGAATGGAAAAGATCATAGACAATCCATTTTTTGAAAATAGTGACTAAGAAGACATTGCTAATTGCTGACTCACATACCTACTTTCTCATCTGAGATCTGTATAAGAATGGTCCATTTATGCATCAAGGTTATCCTTGATGGAAAATATGAAAAGGGATGGAATAGGCATGCTGTAGCAGATGATTTTTCTTAGTAGATCACATCGTCAGTTATACAAACGATTTGGGTATAGACAATATAAAACCCCACTTTATAGATATATGTGTATGTATATTTTTTTTTTGCAAAAAATATTTGACTCAGTAGGAAAAAATGTACCCTTAAAGACTTTCCCACAAGGTGCTGTCCCATGCATGTGTTAAGATCATTCAAGATTCCTTGATAGCTGTAACTACAAAGAGAATTTTTATTCAGTTATCCTCTGTCAGTATCAAGTGACTGTCAAAATAGACCTGTTCTCCACAAAGGTGTTCACCAGTGCCAAGAAAGATGTCCTGTTCGAAGCCCAAATGGAAGAGGGAATCCCTGGTAGACAGTGAAGTGGTCCATATGTTCCTGTTTACAGGTGGCTTTGTGTAGATTTCACAGAACCAATTCTACAGGGCCTCCTCCATGGGATCCAGGGTCACCCTAAAGAAATTTTCCTTCCCATACAGAATAAACGTGTATTGCCCAGATTTATGGAGTTAGATGAGCAACTCTTTGCATTAAATAGGTGCTGTCAGATGGACAATAAACTGGGCTTAGAATTGAATAGGAGAATGCAAGTAGAATGTAAGCCGATTGAGGGCAGGGACTGTTTTACATTTTATCTGTGTATCCCCATTGCCAACCAGCACTGTGCCTTAAATGTAGTAAGCACTTAATAAATTCATGTTGAATAAATGAGGAAATGCTAGATCCTGTTTGGGAAATTGCACAGTGCAATTTGCAGAGCACACTGCTCCCTGCTACTAAAGCACATGTTTTAAACATTATTATCCCAGTGATGATATATGGTAACAAATCAGGGAATAATGCCACAATGTCAATAATCAAAGTTATGCTTCACTTAAAAGACAACATAAAGCCATATGATTGGTGTTAATACCTGTAGCATATTACTTACAAGTAAGTAGAGTCAAAGATGAGAGGAATACGTATGACTAAAAAGAACATAGAGTTGTTATGTATGAAGGGCATCAAATAGTCTGAATGTTGTATTAGTGACTATAAAATATTAAAAGACAGCACTGGGTGGATCTTTTATGGAGGATTTATGAGACAACACAGACAAGAGTTGCACAGGATAAGAAGGCATAGATGACTTGTAATCTATATCGAGATCCACAGATGAGCTCTTGGAGCCATCAAAATAAACATGTTAGGATAAGCATCATGGCATAATGGAAGGAGTGAGTGCTGGGGAGACTGTCAGGAAGACCTGAGTTCAGATTCTATCTCTGACATTTACTTGTTGAATAACCATAGGCAAGTCACTTAATCTTTCTGATCCTAATTTTTGCTATCTCCAAAATGAGAATGATAACAATATACCTAATTCAAAGTTGTTATGAGATCCAAATGAGGTGATAGTGTCTGCAAAACACTTAGCTGACATGTATATAGAACTTAAAATTTTTGTTAATAATCATGAGAATATTAACCTGCAGCCAAAATGATAAAAATATTTCACTTTAGAAGTGCTAAGTTTCAGGTATTGGGACATCCAGATGGAGATAACTAGAAAGCATTTGATGATATAGGACCTAAACTCAGGGCACACTGAATGTATACATTTGGGAGTCATGTGCTTCAAGGTCATAATTTAAGCCACAGGAGTAGATGAGATTGCCTTTGGAGAAAACTTAGATAACAGGGCTGAGGACAGAGTTTTGAAGGATGTCTATACTTAATAGGCAAGAGGAAACCAGTGACAGAAACCAAGAAGGAATAATCAGAGGAAAGAAGAAATCTAGGAGGGCACAGTGTCACGAATTCCAAGGAAGAAAAGAGTATTAAGAAAGATTCAAAAAAATAAAAGGCTCAATACTCTCATACTCCAGAAAGGTTAAGGAGTACGAGAGTGGAGAAGAGACTATTGGATTTGGTAATCAAAGAGATTATTGGTGACTTTCAAGATAACAGTTTCAGCTGAGTGATGTGGACAGAAGCCAGATTACTTGGGATTAAGAAAAGAATAGTGATAGCTGTCTACATCTCCTACTTGAAACTTGCCTTTTGGAGATAAAGGCTTTATTTTTGCTGTACTGGTACAGCAAAGGTCACTGTCTTCTCATCACTGTATAATCAAGCATGTTATATCCAGCAACATATCCATAGTTTGGGAACTGACGCTAATAATCTCTATTTTTATGTTTTGTTTTACTCCTACAATCTTTTCCAACTCTAAGAGATATGATTCTATAATTCCCAGACCAAAACTAACTGCTTGATTATTCATAGAAGTAGAGCTCATGAATGGAATGAAGAAAGAACTAAATCTATACCAAGTGTGATAAAAGTTAAACAATGATCATTTGATCAGTCCAAGTTGAAATCAATCTATATGCCAAAGTTCAGCATACTTTAATGTTCCATATCTAGATGTTATGTACCCAACTGGTAGAATGCTAAATAATTTACTCTCCCAGAACACTTAAAAAAGTTAATGTTTCAGTTTACAAACTAATTTAACTTGATAAGCATCTTTTTGTCTAATGAAATTTTTTATACTAAATCAAGTAGCAATATTTTCTTTGGTTTTCCTAAATTACCTGTAGAGGAGACTGTGGCAACCCTTTTATTGCAACCTGTTCCTAGCACTTTTTAGGAAATTTGTCATAAATATGAGAGGTAGTATAGTATAGTAGAGAACTAGGCTTGAAGCCAGGGAGATCTGAATTTTAGTCTTTCTGATGTCAAATACTGACTTGCGACCCTTAGTAAGTCATTTAACCTCTCAGTGTTGTAGGCAACTCTTAAGACTAAGTTGCAGAAAAGATATTGACCCGAATTGGTAAAGGGAGTTTCCTCACTTGGGGGTTCTTTATTCCAATGTTTTTAAACATCTAACTCATTTAAATAGACAGACCCTATTTTCTTTTTTTAAAAAATTTTTTTATTAATTTATTTTGAGTTATCAACAATCACTTCCATAAAACTTTTTTTTTTTTTGCTAAGCAATGGGGTTAAGTGACTTGCCCAGGGTCACACAGCTAGTAAGTGTTGTGTGTCTGATGCCGGATTTGAACTCAGGTCCTCCTGAATCCAGGGCCGGTGCTCTATACACTGCGCCACCTAGCTGCCCCACACTTTCATAAACTTTTGAGTTTTAAATTTTTCTCTCCCTCCCTCCCCCCCTAAGATGGCGGGGCATGCAATCTGATGTAGGCTATGTATGTGTATACATTCCTATTAAACATATTTTCACATTAGTCATGTTGTAAGGAAGAATTAGAACCAATAGGAGGAACCACAAGAAAGAGAAAACAAAACAGAAGGGAAAAAAAAGCAAATAGTATGCTTCCATGTGCATTCAAACTCCATAGTTCTTTCTTTGGATGTGGATAGTATTTTCCATCATCAGACTTTTGGAGATGTCTCAGATCCTTGCATTGCTGAGAAGGGCTAAGTCTATCAAAGTCATCACACGATGTGGCTGTTACTGTGTGCAATGTTCTCCTGGTTCTGCTCATCATTTCTTATGGTATAATAGTATTCTATTACATTCATATACCACAATTTGTTTAGCCATTCACCAATTGATAGGCATCCCTTCAATTTCCAATTCTTTGCTACCACAAAAAGAGCTGCTATAAATATTTTTGTACATGTGGGTCCTTTTCCCATTTTTATGATCTCTTTGGGATACAGCCCTAGAAGCACTATTGCTGGGTCAAAGAGTATGTACATTTTTATAGCCCTTTAGGCATAGTTCCACACTGTCTTCCAAAATGATTGGATCATTTCACAACTCTACCAACAATGCATTAGTGTTCCAGTTTTCCCACATCTTCTCCCCACATTTATCATTTTCCTGTTTTGTCATGTTGGCCAATCTGATAGGTGTGATGTGGTACCTCAGAGTTGTTTTGATTTGCATTTCTCTAATCAGTAGTGATTTAGAGCATTTTTTCATATGACTATAGATGACTTTAATTTCTTCATCTGAAAACTGCCTGTTCATATCCTTTGATCATTTATCAATTGGGGAATGACTTGTATTCTTATAAATTTGACTTAGTTCTCTATGTATTTTAGAAATGAGACCCTTATCAGAGACGCTGGTTGTAAAAATTCTTTCTCAGTTTTCTGCTTCCTTCCTAATCTTGGTTGCATTGGCTTTGTGCAAAAACATTTCAATTTGATATAATCAAAATTACCCATTTTGCATTTCATAATGTTCTCTATCTCCTATTTGGTCATGAATTCTTCTGTTCTCCATAAATCTGACAGGTGAACTATTCCTTGTTCTCCCAGTTTGCTTATAGTATCAGCCTTTATATCTAGATGATGAACCCATTTTGACTTTATTTTGGCATATGCTGTACGATTTTGGTCTATACCTAGTTTCTGCCATACTCTTTTCCAGTTTTCCCAGCAGTTTTTGTCAAATAGTGAGTTCTTATCCCAGAAGCTGGAGTCTTTGGGTTCATCAAATAGTAGATTACTATAGTCATTGACTACCGTTTCTTCCACTGATCCACGAACCCTATTTTCAAGACTTTCTAAAAATTCCTTCCAAATGTGTGGTATCATATAGCCTTTGATCAAGTGATACTGACCTCTTGGCTTTTCCACAAAGACACTCCATTTCTCAACTCTAGGCTTTTTCTCTGGCTGTACTTCATGCTTGGAATGCTCTCCCTTTTCACTTCCATATACTAGTCTCCCTGGCTTCAATTAAATTTCAGCTAAAATCTAACATTTTTCAGGAAGCTTTTCCCAACACTTCTTACTTCTCATTCCTTCCCTCTCTTAATTATATCCTATTTATCATATGGGTGCTTATGTGTTTATCAACCCCCACCCCAGCAGACTGTGAGTTTCTTGAAGGCAGGGACTATATTTTGCCTTTTTTTTTATATGAATAGAATTGAGCAGAGTGCCTGACACTTAACACAGTAGTTATTGGACTATTTGTGTCTGACCTGTGGTAAAGCCTTCCAAGCTTGTATTGGTCTGATAAGCCATAGTTGAACACATTGGACCTTGACCCAAACATAGTGATGTCATTTTTGTCCTTTTCAAGAAGGAAGGACACCAAATAGCAAACCAGCCATTAATTATTCCAACTGCTTTGGTAAGCCAATTGGAGTTATGTGAGAAAAATCACTAACCTATTCATACCCTCAGTGCCAGTGTTCCCAATATTAAATGTAGGCACCAAGGAAGTCAGATATATAAAGAAGGCCCCATGAACCATAAAATATTCATAGCACTCTTTCTTTAGAGAAACTATTGGGAACAAAGTGGCTTCTTTTCTATCATTCAAGCTAAAATTGCTTTCTCCAAATTTACTATTGGTTCCTTAAATATTCCTGTCTCCGTTATAGAAACAAACAAACAAACAAACTACACCAAACATGAGGTCTCTACAGTGGGGCAAATAGAAGAGAAACCTCTAAGATAGGTGGAGTTTTAGAGCCATTGTTTTTTCTTCTCCAGGTGCAAGGCTGTGCTACTAAGATAAGGCCATTCCCCTTATTACTGCCTTTGAGGAATTTCTCTGAGTCATGGATACCCCAGAGTACAACCGCTTTGTGGATCCAGAGAAAATGGAAGCTATGATCCCGGATGAAGGACCCAAGGAGATGATAAGCACAGACTTCCAGGAGATAAAACAGTTGGCACGCCAGGGCTACTGGGCCCGAAACTACACTCTTAGGGGGAAGGTTTACCAAAAGCTGATTGAGGACATTCCATGTCGAACAGTCACACCAGATGCCTGTGTGTACAGTGACATTGTAGGAAAGATTGTGGGCAAACACAGCAGCAGTAACCTCCCTCTGCCTGAGTTTGTGGACAATAGTCTGGTCCCAAATTACTGCCTGAATCCACAGGGAGAAGAAGCTGTTCGAAAGATCCTCTTGTGTATTGCTAACCAGTTCCCTGACATTTCCTTTTGCCCAACACTTCCAGCAATTGTCGCCCTACTCCTGCACTATAGCATTGATGAAGCAGAGTGTTTTGAGAAAACTTGTCATATCTTGGCTTGCAATGACCCCAGCAAGAGGTTTATTGACCAGAGCTTTCTCGCTTTTGAGTCTTCTTGTATGACATTTGGGGACCTTGCTAATAAATACTGCCAGGCGGCCCACAGAATGGTGGTAGAATTGTCGGAGGATGTATTACAGGTCTACTGTGACTGGCATCGGTGGCTCTTTGCAGATCTGCCATTCAGTTACTTTGCCCGAGTCTTTGATGTATTTCTGGTTGAAGGGTACAAGGTGCTTTACAGAGTTGCTTTGGCAATTCTTAAGTTCTATTGCAAAGCGAAAGCTGGGCAACCCCTGGACTCAGACAATGTGAAGCAGGACATCCGTGTGTTTATCAGAGACATCGAAAAGGCAGTATCCCCTGAGAAGCTGCTGGACAAATCCTTTGCTATCCGTCTCTTCTCCCGGAAGGAGATCCAGCTCTTGCAGATGGCCAATGAGACAGCTCTGAAGCAGAAAGGCATCACGGTCTATAATAAGAGGTGAGGTAATTGATTTGGTTCTCAGTCCACACCTCAAAACCAAGGGCAGCCTTTCCCATCCTCTCCCTTTTCCTCTAAAATAAGGGTAGGTTGATACTTTGGGGAGTGTGAGACCAATGTCTATGTACTGAACACAGGAAGTTTGTGCTTGTAAGAGGAGGAGGCATGTGTAAAATGATTTTGTGTGTGCATCTGGGTTATGAGTTATCTCAATATCCTTCTCTTAGTGAACCTGAAGACTATTGGGTATACATTCAGTCCCAAGGTCCTTCTAAATAAAAATCATGGGCAGCTAGGTGGTGCAGTGGATAGAGCTCCAGCCTTGGAGTTAGGAGGATCTGAGTTCAAATCTGGCCTCAGACACTTGACACTAACTAGCTGTGTGACCCTGGACAAGTCACTTAACCCCAATTGCCTCAAAAAAAAAAAGGTAAAAATAAAAATCATTAGAGTTTATCATTTTTATAAAAGTGATGACCCAAAGGTCATATATCCCATCTGTGAGAGAATGGTGAGGGTGGGGCAAAAGGAGACTGTGGACAACCTTTGGTCTATCTCATCTCTCTGGGAACTTGAAGTTAATCTGGGTTTGAGAGATTGGATTAGTTTCTAGGGAAAGTCCGAGGTACCTTCAGTCATTATTGAGACCGTGAATTGCCTTTTAGGCTAGTCAGAAGCTACTACATCTGCTAGAGTGCATTAGTGGCCTTCAAACTCTGGGTCCCATTACTATACTCCCTGTTGTTTCTTAACCAAATCATACTCCTCTCTGCAGAACAGTCCCTTAAAGATACTAGGGGAAAGTCAACATTGCATTGCTTGTAGGTATCCTAGGGTTAAACTCCTAGATTGTCGAGGGCCATCCTTGTCTATGACTAGGTGACTGTGTTCAAGAAGTAATATGTTTACATCTTTCTCTTTAGGCCTATGCAAAGAGCTTACTGTGGATCTAGGGACTTATTGTTAATCTTTTCCTATCTTTCTCATTTTTTATTTAATTCCATGTCCACTGCCTCCTCCTGTTTTTTAGTGTTTCATCTTCTCAAAGGTAGGTTTGAAAACTGAATCTTTCTGCTTCTCTTGTCTGTCTTTTTTCTGCCAGTTTTTGGACCCTGCCTCACTAGTGCTATCTGCCAACTCTGTGTGTGTGTGTGTGTGTGTGTGTGTGTGTGTGTGTCTGTATGTCTGTCTGTGTGTCTGTGTCTATGTCTGTGTCTGCGTCTGTCTGTCTGTCTAAATGTCTGTCTGTCTGTCCTATGCTTGGCTGATTCTCCATACCCTGCTTCACTGGTGCTATCTGCCTTTCTGTGCTTGGCTAACTCTGGGACCTTGCCTTATTGATGCATCTGCCTGTCTGTCTAATCTGTGCTTGCCTGACTCTTGGACCCTGCCTTGCTGGTGTGGGGACTGGTTCATGGGAGATGGGGAAAGCAGCCCAGGGAACCTGTAAATATGGTCCAAAGGGTGAAAACTTCAACACAAACTAGGGTCACCTTGATGCCCCCAGTTCTACTTTGTGTAAAATGAAAACATTCCAGGTTTGTGGGTGAGAGCATATGAAGTAACAGACAAAATGGGCAGGCATGTGGGAAAGAGTGAACCATTCCATAGAATGTGGCTTCTCATCAGGATCTTTGGAAATATCAGAGCACTAAGTTTCCTCTCCTCTGAGGTTATATGTGACCTCAAATTCCTGTCCCCAAAGCACCAAAGAATGTACTATGAAAACAATACAAGCTTTAATGCGGAAAGCATAAATCCAAATGAGAACCTTTGTTTGAAGTGTGGATCCTTATTAATTGGGAAAGGAAAGAGGGGAGCCTATGATTAGTTCCATAAGATTAGGATATCAACAGCCTGGTCATACACTGTACCAGCTCTTTGATCTGTAAGTGACGGGTATCATTACCATAGTTCTCTGTACTAAAGTAGAATGTTAGGAAGTTTTGTGAAACAAAGAAGGTGAACTGATGTGTGAGGTAGAGAGAAGCATTGCTTGTTTTACTTTTTGGAATAGCAAGTTCTTGATGTGGACTGCAGTGCCAACAGTACAAAGGAATAAGTGACTCTGTAGACTGGTTAAATGTATCAGCCCAAAGTCAGATTGTGGCTGGTGTAGGTGAGTGAAAGTGGGGCCCAGACCAAGCTGGACTGAAAACACTCAGCCAAAGATTGAATGGGTGGAGCGGGGCTATATATGTGCCTTTCTTGACAACTTTGAGTTTCAGTGTTCCCTCCCTCTCGGTGAGGTAAACCCAGTATTCTGGGTTGTGAAGGAGAATAAGAGTGGGTATAGTCCCAGAGGTCTCAGGTGAAAGACATAATAGAAGAAGGAGAGGGTCCAGGTCCTGATTGTCTTTCCTTTGGGATTGCATTTGGTCCAGGGACAAGGAATGGAGGCAAACAGATTTAAGACCTTTTGCTAGAAATAAGCTTGAGGGGCTTCCCTACTTCCTAATTAGGCATTTCACCTCTCAGTCCTCTTTTCCTCACCGTTGTTCTCTTGGTCCTTTTTCTGCTTGTGTTGTGCATATCCTAGCCCTAGGTTATTTTACTACCTTCCTACTGAGCCTATTCCTTTTAGAGGATTCACTTTCCAAGCCAGAGAAATTAGCATTCATGGAGATGACTTGTCCTTCCCTGAACTGACGAAGTTGTTGAGGTCACTTGTCTGAATAGTCAGTACTTACCAAAGTTTTGTTGATTCTTGGATGAGTGGAAAAGTAAGGTTCATCTTTTCATTTTTCATATTAAAGCTGTCAGAGCAACAGAGGCGACCTTGGAGAGATTCCTAGAGGGGAAGAATTTCAACTCTGGGAATTCAAGCATGTGGAGGGTTCTTCAGATTGGTTTCCAAGTGGTAACTACAACTGTAGTCTTGAAGGAACAGTCTGTTTTGAAAGAAATGTGAGATGTGTGTGCCTGGGAAGTCTGCTTTGTCCCTGAGCAAAGTGACATGGAGTTTTTTTGCTTGAGTTTGAAGATCTTAATTCAATTCAACAAACATTTGTTACTGCCTTATTATGAGGCAGGCACAATGCAGAGCACTTGAAATACAAAAAACTAAATAGTCCCTGCCTTCAAGGAACTTAATTCTACCAATAGTTTATACTTTTCTGTATTCCCATAGAGCTACCATCTGAACAGGAAGGATAGGTTCTGGCCTCTTGAATATATATGTGACTCAACAGAACAGGTTGCTCTTGCCTTGAGACTTTAAGGAAAAGAAGGACTCTGTCTTCTACGTAGGCTGACTTCTTTCACAAGTAAGGGAATAGTGCCTCCAGTAACTTTAGAATTGATGTTGCCTGTACTGGCTACAACACTGATCACCACTTTTCTCTCCCTCTTTCTTTCCATGCAAACCAGGAATTCCCACAATGGGAGTCCCATTCAAGCCTGGTCCCAATATACCATTCTTTTTCCTAGTTTGGCTGCCTGGGAGGCTTCATGGTATGTGGCCACCTTGGAATTCTAAACTCATCTCCCCTCCCCCAGGCACTTCGTGCACTTGGCTGTTCATGCTGAGAATTTCCAGTCGGAGATTGTCACTGTGAAGGAGATGAGAGACATCTGGTCATGGCTCCCTGAACGGTTTGCTCTCTGCCAGCCTCTGCTGATTTTCTCCACTATGCAGCATGGATATAGCTTGACAAGGTAACCCTATCCAGCCATGATGCCCTGCCCATGTAGGATCCCAGAGCTAAGGATTTGAATGACTCTTCTCTCATTCAGCTCTTCTGTAGACAGCATGGAAAGAGAAATAATGGAGGGAAAGTTGGGGCCCTAGCCTTGACTCCTCCATACTTCCCTGGGTCAATTAAGTGGTAATTAGGGTACTGAAAGGGATGAAGCTCATTTCCTTGCTGCCTGGGGCCCTAATGCCTCACCCAGGCCTTCATACCAGTGGTCATAGAAATCTAAGGAACTTCTTATCCAGGAACAACATGTCCTTCCCTTCTTTGGCTTTAGGCTTTACTGCCCTAGAGTGATTAAGCTCAAATAAATGTTATTCTTGGGTCCCTGTTATATCTTTGTATGGACCAGAAATCTTAGGAGATAAAGGAGAATACATAGATGGGCTTTGCCCTTGAGAAACTTACTGACTAATTGGTAAAAATGAGAAGAACATTCAAACAGCAAGACATAACTGATTCTACCCCGTTTCTTTTGACCAAAAGCCTGAGGGAACTAGATGCTGGATTAAGTATGTTAGCTGCTGGTCTCTGTCGGAGCATTATCAGAAAAGGTTCCTCCAACTCCAGCTACTCCATTTTGCCCCAGGCTGTGGGAGGGGGTTACTGATAACTATCACTACCTGTCTCAGGTCACTGTTAGCTACTGGATGGGAATCTGCCAGGTAGAGAGGGGACTGTAGTGTCAGTGCCATTGCTTGGCCTTTCCAAAGCAGAGATACTGTGACTCTAGTCATAAGTGTTCTAGGAAAGGAGATGCCAACAATCTGCCTTGGCTAACTCATATAGGCAGCATCTGCCAGCCCCAACTCAGACACCAAGCAGCCTGAACCACATTTCTTAGTCCTTTCCAACCACTGCAGAACAGCACGTGCCAGTCCTGGCCTCTAAGAAGATTCCAGCCCGAGGCCTCAGGAAGGGTGGAGGGGAGACATAGTTGGCACCAGTTCAGGCCGCACCTGTTTTCTTTCTTTCCTGCAGTGTAATTTTTTCCCCCCATATATGCTATTTCCTCAAGCAAAGTGTAAGTTTTTCTTAGGCAGGGACCAAGTGTCCTGTTTCTTTTTTGTCCCTTATGGCACCTATTTAGTTTTGTCTACAGTAGGAATGCTGCCCAGGAACCTGACCTGAATTGTATGTGGTTTTGCAAAGCTACTGATCTGCCATGGTGGTTTTCCTCAGCCACTTTGACCTGAAGAGAAAAACTGGACCTTTTTCCTTACCCCATTACCCACCCCCACCCCCACCCTGAGCTCTCAACCAACAGAGATAGCTTGCCTTCTTTATCCCCTTCAGTACATCATGGGTGGCACCATAACTACTGCCACTGACATGTCATCTCTGCCTGCAGGCTTTATTACCACTGTGATGGACATGAGCCAACTCTCCTTCTCCTCAAGACAACAACGAAAGAGGTAAGTAAGGCTGGAGACCTGAGGCTTTGGATACAGTCTTATGGCTGACATTTCTAAACTTAGCTCCTCCTGATCATATTATGGCTCTGACTAATATAAGAGGGGATTGGGAGAAATGGAGGGTGGTGAGCAAAGCATGGAGCCCCTGGGGGGAAAGGATGCCTCTAGAGTGTGCATGAGAGGGGATGTTTCAGACTAGGAACCTGAGTTTAGAAAAAGAATATTTGTGGAAATAGTAACTTAACCAAAGGGACATATTTTAATGTTAGTATTTCAAATGCTTTGACAGGTAGACTGGAGGTAGGGGGTTGTGGAGGTGAGGGGAGGTGTTCTTCGACAGGAATGCCCTAGAAATCACATTCTATCAGTACACTCTGATTAGGGATTTGCTCTGTCTTTGAGGATATTAAACTCAAGGGTTCTGGAGCAGGGAGAAAGATATTCTTGCCTTGTCAGTGTGGGACCTTGACCATTGGGGGTCTGAAGAAAGTTGTCCCTCTAGCACTATATCTTTTATTCTTTGTGTCTAAGTTGGGAGCAGGTACCTGGAGCTTCTACCTCTGTCCTCCTCCATTTTAGAGATCTCTGAGAAATAACCATTTATAGGGACTAACAGGGGATCTAGGCATTTAAACCCTGAGGGGAAATGGGAGCTCAGACCCTTTGGGTAGAGTACTGTACTGACTGGTTCTTTAGCTCCATCCTTTCACCTGGGGAATAACTAGTGTGGGGATCGTTGAGCTTTAATTTTTGGGAGGCTGATGTGAAGGTTGGTGTTTCACATTCTCTTATTCTAGGTTTGTGGTGCTTACCTGTCGACAGATTGGAGGGATCGAAATAAATTTGGAGGCAAGCTGAGCTTCTTTGGGACTGGGGAGTGCTTTGTGTTTAGGGTGAGTAGACCTTGGTATGAAGGAGCAGGACACTGATGAAAAATGAGCATGAAACCCTTAGGGGGGAGTTCAATCTCTTGGGCAGTGCTGATTGGTCACCTATGCCCCACCCCCAAAGAGGTGTGGGCCACGAGGACCCTCAAGGTGAAAATGAACCTGATAATGGGTCATAACTTTGGGGGGGGGTAGTGAGCATTTTAGCCCTTTTGGCTTCCCTTACCCAGTTCCTGGCCCCTTGTTCAGGCTGACTTAGACCTTTACTCTGATACTTTTGTTCCCTCATCTCCACAGCTGAAGCCAAAAGTTCAACGATATGTGTGGGTAGTGATAAAACACCCAGAGCTGGCCAAGAACCAGAATTCAGCCTTAGAACCTACAACTTCAAGTCTCCAGCTCAGCCACCCAACCTCCACAGACCCCCCAAAACGACTCTCACCTTTCTTGGCTGCCCGGCACTTTGGTCTTCCTTCAAAAGCTGAATCTCTGTTCATGGCTGGATCCAATGAATGCATCATCATAGGTGATATGCTACCCTGCCATATTTTCTTCTACCATTCCAACCTTGATTCTCCCATATTTTTCTCTTCCTCCTACTTCTTAACCTTTTCCCTGCTATTCTCTCTCCTTTCCTTCCCCCACCCCAGCCATACAACATGTGTGTACCTCCATATCTCTCTTGAGCATTAGTCTGGGATCATATATTTAGAGCTGGAATAGGCCTCAGAGGTCATCTAATCCAAGCCCATCATTTTGCCAGAAGGAAAGAAACTGAAGCCAAGAGAGATTAAGTGATAGTTGCCCAAGGTCACACAGGCTAAAGTGGGTTCCCTTTCTATCCGTTCCTATACTTTCTTACCCTCCCAAGGTCACTCAGGCTGGATTTCCTTCTAGATTCTTACCACCCCAGAGGTTGATGCTGGTTCCCTTTCTGGGTATGACCAAAGCACTGGGGCTTGAGGGAGAGTCATGGTATTTGGGGGAGTCTCAAGTCTAGGACTGCTCTGCTTTTGGTCTTCCAATAGCCCTCCACCTATGCCAACTGAACACCTCTATCCTCAGCCTTAGCTCAGCTACATTGCAGGGTAAGCCTTGCCCTCTGTCTTGGGGAGTTGGTAGTGGTAGAAACAACACTTTTACATGGTAACAAGAGATAATATAATCTATTGTGCCATAGGCCATAAGTACTGGAAGTTCAGAAGTAGGCAGAAGAATCAGATTTGCTGTGAAAGACATGCTGACTTTTCAGATGCCATTAAAACATTCAAGTGAAGAGGACAGGTTGGCAGTTGGCAATGTGCTGAGGCTTAAGTTGGACTTTATGCACATTACTCCTAAAGTGATGGTAATAGTTCGAAGCCATATGGATAAATTTGCCAAGTAAATATTATAGCCAGCAGTTGTTTTCTAGCTATAGCTGCTGACCTTTTTATCTTCACAGGTGGTGGAGGTGGTCAGGCTCTGTACATTGATGCGGACCTGAATCGAGGCCACACAGGACATTGTGAAACCTTTAACAATGAGCCTCTGTGCTCTGAAAACTTCCTCATCTCTTCCTTAGAGGTATGGGGCTTCTGGAATGCTGACATACAAGAGTAGAAACAGCCACACTCACCAGTCCCTGCAAGGAAGACAAGGATATTCAGGGGCTTCCAGCACAGGAGGAAGGCTACTCCAGGATTGACTTCTCCATTTTCAGGTCGTGATCTTGGATAGAAACACAAGGCCCTATGATCCTTTAGGGGTCTCTCTCCATCCCGGCTTTCTATGATGGCTACTGACCCCTCTGAAAAGTCAGCCTGTAGTCAAGAGTTCCTGAAACTTCCCTTCTCTTCATCCCCCTAGGGAATGGGTTAGTTTGAGCTGGAGCCTGTTATGGGGATCAGATCATTTCTGGAGACAGACTCAAGCCTTGCCCCATCTGCTTAGAGACTTTGGTGTAATCCAGAGTCCTGTCTCCTCTTGGGACAGAGCCCACGGATGGTGTTGGGGGACATAAATAGCAAACATGATATTATGTGAACCAATTCCAAGGTCATGCCTAGGCTCTCTGGCTGTTCCTGAAGGGTGGGCTGGTGGGGTAGGGGAAGGAACCTTTGTTCTAAGGGTAATCAAGGTGCAGATGAACAAAGGCCCATGCATAAATTCCTCTGCAATTGCCCAGGAAGTCACCAGGCTTCCCCAGATGTAGCCCTTGGGATTACCCTTTTCCTCTCTCAAATCATAGGCTCAGATGTGGACAAACAATCCTTCCAACAGACACCTTATCATTCTGGGTTTTGGAGAAGGCTCAAGTCCAAGAGAGAGAAGTCCTCAGAGGGGATGGCATTAACCTCTGGATCCTGGAATTAGCACTCTACACAAATCCCTCATGTCTTCATAGCTTTCTGAGTACTCATTCACCTTCCTCCCTTATCTAGGTATCTTGGTCCCTCTATACCCTCAAAAAAAATCTCATTATGTGTATATACGTCTCTTCCTTTAACACTGAATCTGGTGGTCTGTGCCTGGGTATTTGTCCTGTACTTTTTCTTTGGGGTCCTGATTTCTCCTCTTTCTGGGAGAAGAAGAATGGGATGAGGGATGGGTGTTTCTGAGGTTACTCTCCACAAATTTCCAATACTGGGACCTGAAGAACAGTAGTTCCATTGCCTCACCAGGGCTTATGCGTCATTACCCTGTTACTCCTTGGACTTTGGTGCCCCCATGTGGTTCTTTTGCTCTTTGCCATAATAGAGAGTGAGAAAGAGAGTGACCTCTGGTGCCTGATACTTGTCCTTGGGGTACGTAAGAGCTCTGCTCTCCTTTGCTTGGGTAGTTTTGTCCCAAGCTGCCTCTTGTTCAGGATTCCAAAAAGCCAGCAGAACAACGCTATGGAAAAGTAAGAAGTTGCAGAAATGCTTTTGAGGTAACATTTCCAAGCCAGCAGTACATCAGAGCTGGTATAGACTTCCCTCTGGACGTCTCCATCAAGAGCCCTGATTCTTTCTTCTGCCTTCCCAACTCCTGCTCTGGCTTTTCTCTAGGAATGGGGAAGGCACCATAGCACATAGTCTTATGCAATCATATAATGAAACCTGGATCAGAATCAAAGTTACTTATGGTTCAGAACAAGTAGGCAAGGGATACTGAGACAACATGGGCTGGAGGCATGCCCTTGGAAACTGCCACATCTGAGTTCCCACTGACTAAACTTTATCCTTTTGCTTGCCTAGTCTCTTGGGGCTGGCCACCAACTACAACTATGAATGTAACACAGGGTTGATTGACATTTTAATCCTTTATTTGCTAACACTTTACAACTAAGTTGTGGTAAGCAGGTTTTTTTTTTCTTTTCCCAGAGAACTCTGTGTCTGATTAATTTTTTTTAAAAACCTTGAAGCCTCTAGTAACAGTTGTTTTCCAGGAATGTATGTGGAATGAAGGAAATCTTTACTGTCTTCAGTTGGGGCCTGAATAAAATTGAGATCAGGTTCAAAAGCTAAATCTAGTCACATTTAGGTATGAATGTCCTTTACAGAGAGGAGTTTGGGAGCTGAGCCACTTCATTTCAATTCAGTATTTATTAAACTGCAAAGCATTGTTCTAGACACTAAGGATAAAATAAATGAAACAGTTTCTGATCCTCTAGCTTGCAATAATACATAATCAACAAGCATTTATAAAATGTTTATTCTGTGCCAGGCACTATGCTAAGCACTGGGGATATAAAGAAAGTCAGCACTTCTCTGCCATCAAGAAGCTCACATTCTAATGGAGGGACAACATGTAACTATGTAAGTATAAGATCCATACAGAACATATGGATGGTAATCTCAGACAGAAGGAATCGGGGTGGGGAAGACTGGGACAGACCTCCTGCAGAAGGTGGAATTTAAGTGGGGTCTTGAGGAAAGCTAAAGAGGCAGAGAAAAGAAGGAAGAGCCTTCCAAAAGTGGAACAGAGAGCCCAAAGCCTAGTCAGAAGGTGAAGTGTCTATATAAGAAACCACGAGAAATCCAGTGTAATTGGAATGTAAAAGTGTAAGAAGACAGGAAAGGTAGAAAGGGGCTAGGTTGTGAAGGGCTTTTAATGACTAACAGAGAACTTTATATTTGATCCAGGTCGTAACAGGGAGGGACTGAAACTAATTGAATGAGTGGAGCATAAGCAGACTTTTCCAGCTACACACTGCTGCCTGATTCACTGGGACCAACCTTACCCCTGACTGATCTCCACCCTGCTACTGATACATGCAGAGATGGGCATGCCTTTGATCTTGCCATCAGCCACATTGTACTACTTCCCATGTTCAATGAACGCTGAAGTTCTTTGATCACAATCTCTTTTCATTCCACCTTCTCCTTTCCCTTACAACCCCAAAACCTGTTCTTCATCCTCACTATGACTTCCAGTCTCACCACTACTCCTATATTGACTACACTTTCTTCCCTTCCCCATCTTGACATGTTGGTGAACCAATTCAACCCTATGCTGTCCTCTCAAGTCCCTTGGATTCTTATTGAATCAAATATTTTGCTCTGCCAAATCTGAGCCTTGAATTACTCCCACCATGTGCTACATGCCTAACAGTGCTGAATGAAACTAGAGAAAACCAAAAAGCTGAACTCATGCTCATTAGGTCCACTACAGATGCATGTCCTCTCAACTGGGCCCCCACTGAAGCAAGGCAGTCCTTTTGTATCTTCCTAACTAATTCACTATCCCACTCACCCTAGCAAAAATTTTCCAAATTTTTTCATCTGTCTTCAAACCTCCCCCTAGCCTCTCAGTTGAGAACTTTGCCTCATATTTCATTGAAAAATTAAGGCCATTTGAGAGAGCTCCCTCTTCTCCCCTCCTCCTGTTATTCAGATGCCTTCTGCAACCATCTCCTTCACCCATTTCCCATAAAGATGTGATTCTTTGCCTTGCCAAAGCAAACCCCTCCATAGCTATGCCCAAGTGATCCCATTCCATTTTCCTTCTCCAAGGATGTTAGAGGAGACAATCTCTACTCTCTCATTTATGTGCAATCTTTTGCAGTCCACTGGCTGCTTTTCTGCTCCCAATATACATACATGTCTATGTCTCCTCTATCCTCAGAAAATTCTCTCTTGATCCATCCATCCCCACTATATCTCCTCTCTTTTTGGTTAAATTGCTTGAGAAGTCTATACACTTAATGCCTCCATTCCTTTCCTCTCACTCTTTTCTTGACTCTTGGCATTCTGGCTTCTGACCTCATTATTCAACTGAAACTACTCTTTCCAAAGTTACCAGTGATCACTTAACAAATCTTATGGCCTTTCCTCAATCTTCACCCTTCTTGACCTCTCTGCAGTCTTTGACACTGTCAATTACTCTCTACTCCTTGATACTCTTCTCTCTAGGTTTTTATAACACTTCTTTCTCCTGGTTCTTCTACCTATCTAACCATTTTTCTATCATCTTTGCTGGATCCAGGTCATTCCTGTTAATCTAAGACTCTCTCCTGAGCCAGCTTCTCTCTATACTGTTTCACTTGGTGAGCTCATTAGCTCCCATAGTTTCAACTATCATCTCCATGTAGATCGACTTGTTGATCCCTAACCTCTCTCCTGACCTCCAGTCTTGTGTCTCTAACTGCATATTGGATGTCTTGTGCTGGCTGTCTCACAGACATCTTAAACTCCATCTTAAACATGTCCAAATTTGTTCTAGTTTCCCCAAACCCTCCCCTTTTCCGAACTTCCGTATTACTGTGGAAAGGACTGCTAACCTCCCAGTTACTCAGCCTTACAACCTAGGTGTTAATCCAGGACTCCTCACTCTCATCCCCGATATATCAAATCACTTGCCAAGTCCTGCCATTTCTACCTTCATAACATTTCTCATATATGCCCTCTTCTCTCCTGTGACACTGCCACCATCCTGGTGCAGGACCTCATCCCCTCATACCTGTACCGTTGCAAATAGGCTATTGATGGGTCTGCCAGCCTCAAGTCTCTCTCACTCCAATCCATATTCAACCCAGGTGTCAAACTGATCTTCCTAAAGCACAGATCTGATCACCTTCCCTTTTCCCCATTCAATCAACTCCCTTGTTTCCCTATCACCTCCAATAAAGTCCTAATGTTTTTCATAACCAGACTTCTTTCTGCCATTCTAGTCTCCTTACACCTTACCTCCCCCCAGGCCCCACACACCTATACTTTGTGATGCAGCAACACTAGATTCCTGGCTGCTTCTTGCACACCACACTCTGCATCCCAACTCCAAGGGTTTTTGCTGGCTATTCCCCATACCTGGACTGCTTGCCCTTCTCATTTCCATCTCCTAATTTCCCTGACTTCAAGTCTCAGCTAAAACCTCACTTTCTGCAGAAAGCCCTTCCCTGCCCTCATTAATCTTATTGCCTCCTGAAATTATCTCCAACTTACCCTGTAAAGGTGTCCCAAAAGTCTTAGTGCAGTTTTGTTTTAATGGCTTAATACTTCATTTTAGTAGCTTAATACTGTCTGCACATAGCTATTTATTTGTATGTTGTCTCTCCTCTTAAACTGTGAACTTGAGAGCAGGGCTACCTTTTGCCTCTCTTCTTAATCCCCAGAACTAAGCACAGTGCCTGGCACGTAATAGATGCATAATAAATGCTAACTTACTGACTGACTTTAGGAAAATCGCTGGCAGCTGAATGGGAAGGATAAATTGGAGAGGGGAGACTTTTAAGGCAGGGAGAATAACTAGAAGCCTATTGCAATAATCCAGGTGAGAAGTACATGAACTTGGGTAGTGGCTAAGTGAGTAGCAATAAAGGGATATATTGAAGAGGGAGAAATAAGGTTTGGCAACTGATGAGTTAGGAGGAAGACTGCAAAAGCTGAAGGTAACACTAAGTTTGTGAACCTAAGTGACTTAAAAGTACAGCCCTTAACATCAATAGGAAAGTTCAAAAGAATGAATTGAGGGGGAGGAAAGATATTGAGTTCTGCCAAAAGGCAGTTGGAAATATGTATCTAGATATTAGGAGAAATATTGGAGCTAGAGATGGAGGTGGAAATCAATCACATAGAGATGTTAATTTGAAATAGTGGAAGTGGATTAGTTCATTTAGGGAGAGTCTGGGCTTGAGAACCATTTCCACTGAAGGGTCTGGTTGAGGGAGACCCTTGGTTATTGGTTTAGAGACATATATAATTTTTGGATATGTCTGATGTGAATGTTTTTTCTTGACTGTGATAAAAAGAGGGCTTTTACATGGGGAGGAGAAGGGATAGTGATAGAAATTTTTAAAAGGAAGAAAAAGGCTTTAAAGAAAATATACAGAAGAGATCAAAGGAGGTTGAGGGCAGTAGATAAGTGAGATAGCTTTGGAACTGACATGCCTGGTTGAATTTATACTTAACCTATTGATAATAAGACTAAGTTTCATTTAGAATCTTTTTTCTCTTGTTTGTATAGGGAAATATTATTTTTGTATTTGTCAAGTTCAGAATAACAAAAAAAAAATTAAAGAGATACCATTGTTAGCTCTTCCTAGTGATCTAGCTTTGAAGCCAGGAAGACTTAGCTAGCTTCAAGTTCCTCCTCTGATACATGGTGGCTAGGTCACCCTGAGCAAGTCACTTAGCCTCTTAGTGTTCTAGGCAACTCTTTTAAGAATAAGTTGCAGAGGTGTTGATCTGCATTGGTAGAGTTTCCTCACCCAAGAAATAATACCCTATACAAAATCACAGCTCCTGTCCCTATCTCTAACATAAAGTACTTGAGGCTTCTGTCAGGTTTGCTAATTTAAACAGATAATAGGCCTGGAGAAAAAGTTGGCGGAGGAAAACAAATCAGAGAGCTTAGAGGAGAAACATTATTGTACAGTAGTTAAAGATGCCAATGGAAAGGAAAGTACCAAGAAGGAAGGGTTGTCAACAGTATTTTTTTAAAAAGCTCTGGAGAGGTTAGGTGATGAGAACTGAGAAAAGCCTATTTGGATTTGGCAATAAATTTATTATTGACCTTAAAATAATTTCAATTAAAAATGGTGAAGACTTAAGCCAGATAGAGGGAGGAGATTGAAGAATGAAGAGGTAGAAAGAAATATAATCTTCAGTTGTAGAAGTCTCAGCTTTCTAAAAGTATGTCAGTAAAGTGCAGGGGAAAAAAGGCAGTAGCTCAGATAGATAGTGGGGCCAAGAGAGGGTGTGTGTGTGTGTCTGTGTGTGTATGTAAGAACAAAGGAGACAGCATGGCTGTAATCTAAAGGAGACTGTGGTAAGGGGAGAAGATTGAAGATGCAATACAGAGAAAAGATAACTGATGGAGATCTCAGAGCAAAGAGGGTGGAGAGCACACAGAGATATTATTGCTAATAAGGGGTAAGGATGCCCAATCCTCAAAGGTAAGAGGAAAAGAGAGGGCAGGTGAAGATAGTAAAGTTTTATAGCTGGGGAAACAAGCCTGGAGAGACTGGGTGATTTACCAGAGATCACACAGAAAGTGGCAAAGCCAAAATTTGAACGCGTTTTTGGAAAAATTGTAGAGAATGAGAGGGAGCCAATAAGGAGTCAGTAAAAAGATTACCAAGGAGCAGTGAGGGCCTAACTGAAGTTACACAGAATAAGTTTGTAGCAGGTAGAATCAGTATTAATTTTAAGGCTTTTCTTAGCAATGCTTAGTAGTCCAGAAGCATAGAAATCCAATAAGGAGGGTTAACCTAGGGTTGAGAATAGAGCAGGAATTAAAAGGGCAGAAGTGATGAAAAATTCTGGGATATCAGTTAATTAGTTGTTGAAATGGTTGGCCAGGAGTTCTAGATCAAATAAGAAAGTATCAAGAGACAAGGTCACTGTGTGGATAAAGAGCAGGTTTCTGGTACATGAGGAAACTGGGGAAGCAGGATACAAAACTATGTTAGAGTAGAATTTCATTGTTTAGGACATTGGAGGTGATGATAAAGTCTAAGGTATAGCTGTGCCTGTATGTAGTTATAGGTCATAGTATATTATAGATTTTGAGCTAGAAGAGACCTGAGAGGTCATGAAAGCTGTAGGAGTTAAGGAGGTGAGGAAATATGAGGTCAGGATGCTGTGGCGATACCTACATCAAGTTTAAAGTCACCAGTTGAGAGTGTGAGATAAAATGGAGAGGAAGATGATGACCCTAGTGCTGAAGGTGAGTAAATAATATGGAAATCAACAAATTATAGCAGCATTATCATTATAGAAACCCTGGTTTGTAATCTTGAATTCGTCAGTGTTGTTTACTTGCCTTCTTGCCTCCCAATCCCATCAGTTACCAAGTTCTGTGATTTCTACCATCTACCTATGGAATTTTTCTGCTTCATTTCACTTTACATTCACATAGCCAACACCTAGTTCCGGACCTTATCATCTCTTGCTTGGAACACTGCAGTAGACTTCTAATTAGTGGTCTCCTTGAGTCTAGTCTATCCTCTTTCACACAACTCACAAAATAATCTTCCTAAAGTACAAGTCTGATCTGTCACTCTTCTGCTTAAAAATCTTCAGTGGCTTCATATTATCTCTTCTCCCTTATACTGCTTGTATTCCTTTTCCCACTATCTCTTCCTTTACCCCTGTCTGACATGATGAGGTGGCCTTACTCCTTACCAAAAATAACCCTTTTATCTGCTCAAGTGATTCCATTTCTTCCCCTCTCCTCCAACAGGTTGCTCCCTCTGTCGTCCCCATTCTATCACTTATTTGCAATCTCTCCCTCTCTACTGGCTCATTTCCTGCTACCTACAAATGTGCCCATGTCTTCCCCTTCCTGAGGGAGGAAAAAACCCTTACTTAATTCTTCCGTTCCTGCTAATTACCATCCTATGTCACTTCTGCCCTCTGTGGTTAA